GTTCAGGATTGCCTATTCTCATGAGAATAGAAGGTAACAAAAACATAATTCATACATCCATGTCATAATGTTTTTTTTTTTGTTTCTGATGCTCAGAGGCCAAGTTGAAGGGGGATGTGGGGGGTGGGATCCAAAGGTAATGTTTGTTCTTCTGACTGCAGGGTAGGGGGTTGTCTGATTGAGTCATACTGGACTAATTGTGTCCTGCCAGAAGCATTCCTAAGATAAGAGGTCTTTGTATTCGGTACACATTGGAAAGGCAGCCCGTCTTGTTCAAAGGTCTCGGAATGTCGGCTGCAAGAATCTCAGTAATTTCTGTCAAGGGGCTCGATGTGTTGTTGTTGAACCTCATAGATGTTATGAAAAAAAATTCATCTGCTAATGCTCTTATTTTGCCTAATTATGACGGTTTGCCCTAATTGTGATGAGCTTGAGTTTCAGACGACCTCACCAGGTGTTCATTTGGTTCGGTAAAACGTTTTTGAGGCAGCAGCGGCAGGCACAGGTGCCATGAATAAGCTTTCACACGCTCTTGGATTGTCTTGACTGTTGGCACATGTGGGCCCTCTGTTTAGAGCTGTGCTAAGCTTCAGATCTGAGATATGGCTGATGTGATGGGTCTATCATGAGACATAATAGCGTGCGACATAAGGAGATGCAAGCATTATTCTTTCAGATTTCCTGGTTAAAATAAAACCAAGAAAAACATTATCAAAATGCTTTTGGTTTTCTTAACCGTTGACAAGATTTAGTCACTGATGCTAAAATTCTAAATTTGCAAATCATTAGATCAAGCCAAAAAACAAAGAAAAAATCCAAACCACTAGGTGATTTTGAGACATGAATCAGTGCAGCATTTTAGCATGAAAGTCAAAGAAAGGTGGGCTTTTGGAAAAAAATTAATGCTGGAACATTTGACAGATAGGCAGAGACATTCAGTAGAATGGTAAAACAGGAATGTAAATGGCTGGTTTCATGCAGTGTGATGCTGTCTAGTGTTAGAGCTTTGGGTGGGAGCAGAAGGTTTCTGCAGAGTGCAGTCATTCTAACTGACATAACATGAAGCAGCACTTTGTTCTCTCTCTCCATACCCCTGTGGTGTTTATTTCTCTCCTTAATCACTCTTGCGAAAATTGCACATGCCATTATAAGATTAAAAAGATTTTCTCTACTCTTTTTTAGCCATCACAGTTCCTGGAGGAAGATTATGTAAGATGCTTTCACAAGGCCCGTGTTTGTCAGCGAGAGCAGGGTTTGAGGGGCTTGTGGATTAATCGTTATCGAGGAAGGCTACAGGACACCGAATCCCTTGGGGAGGGGTTGGGGGGGAGTTGTGTGGGGGGGGGGAGCTTATATCATCTGGTTGCCTCTGCGCCCGTAAAATTTGGCGAAATAAAATGTGACACGCAGGTTTGCCAGTTTGAAAACAAACATCTCCTATCCTTGGGTGACGTTCCGTTTTTATTTGCTACCACTGCCAGCTCAGCTTTCAGTCGTGCTGGTGCTGCTTGCCTTCTTTCTTGATGGCTTTGATCTTTGCAGATTTCTCATAGGACAATATTACCCATACTTCATTGCGTTGTTTACCGGTTTGCCAGAGCTTGTTTGTCTTGCATGTTTAGTCTCGGTAGGCAATGCGAAAATCTGTGTATTTTGCAGTTTTTTTTTGCTATGTTTAATTTAATAGACACTAACTGGATGTACATTGATCCATGTTTTCAATGTCAGGCTGGTATAACTGGCTCTGTACAGTTGGCTTCCTCTTGAGGAACATGGTGTGTGTGTGTGTGTGTGTGTGTGTGTGTGTGTGTGTGTGTGTGTGTGTGTGTGTGTGTGTGTGTGGAGAACTATGTTAGAGTGAACACAGCCATGCTGACTGGGCAGTTGTGCGGCAATGGACTCTGATTTCGCAACTCCTAACCACGGGGATTGGGTTACGGACCGGTGTCAGGAAGACAGGGAGGCCTGCACTCTACGAGTAGCTGGATCAGCGGGTTCTGTTGTACGGAAACCAGCTCCTTGCGGCCTGTGTCTCTTCTTTCCAAACACTGGGGCCATGTTCAAGCACAGAATATTAACAGTATTGTCATTTAGCAGACGCTCTTATCAAGACTGACTTAGATTACAATTTTAACCATTTATACAGCTGGTTATTTACTGAGGCATCTCTGGATTAAGTACCTTGTCAAAGGGTACAGCAGCAGTGGGAATCACACCGGCAACGTTTTAGTTACAGGCTCTGTTCCTTACCACTATGCTACATTGCTACAACACTGCACAAAATCTACAGTGTTGAGGATTTCCGTGCTTTCCTTTGCGCTCTCTACCCTGTTGAAAAAAGAAGCGTGGATGCTTCAGATTAAAACCAACCAGCAAGTGAAATCAGTTAAAGGAGTAATGACTTAATGAGGCTTGTAAAATGCCCACAGGTGCCCATGGAGGCACTGGCAGTCACACTGCTTTGCAGGGGAAAGAGCCCCTGCAGTATGTTTTTATTGCTGTTTTTTTATTTGCTTGGTGGAAATCTGTATGAGTTAACATATTTTATTGGTCATGCTTTTGCATCCGTAACCGCTCTGCACGCCTTTCGTAGGGCTGGGTTTTTGACAGCGCCGGTCAGGTAAATTGTCCTTCCGCGGGGACTGGGAATTGTCCTTCGGTGGCGATCGATCTCACCGTGTGCTCCTGCTCAGCCATCTGGTCACGAGTCCGCCACTCAAACCGCCGCAGCAACCAGCTACTCTCTCTGCGCTCCAGATGTGAGCTGTTCGAGAGCGAGCAGGGCAGGGCAAGCACTGAAACTGTAAGCGCTCTTTGTGAAAGTCACCCGGTACCAGACGTAAGACATCACCCCTGCCTCAGTAAATCCTGTGATTGGGGAAAAAAAAGAAACAAGATTACGTTTGCACAGAAATGCAATGCTGTCTTCCCTTTTCATTTGTTTGTTTTAGTTTAGTTTTTTTTTTTTTTTGGTTTTGTCACCCTGCATGACCACAGTTCAGCACCAGTGCTTGACTCTCAGCTAATCATATGAGGCAGAGCATCATGGGTATCCATGGGCAGAAGGAGGAAGGCAGCGGTTTGGAATCTCTTTGATGTTTCGCTTAAATCTCATCTCATGAGCTTTGCTTTTTATGTAGAGGGGCTCCCAACAGGCCCCTGGGAGCGTGGTGACACACACTGACATGCTCACGTGCACACACACACACACACACACACACACACACACACACACACACACACACACAAGCTTGATCTGATAAGTCTGTGTGTGTTCGTTAGTATATGCGTGGAGGACATTCAGTACACTGACACATTTGTGGCCTGAAGCCATGTGAAGAGGCTTCTCGAAAAAAAAAAACAGAAATAACAACTGGAATAGAGCAGACCCAGAAATGAAAATTGCTTAGCATCAAAGGAAGCCCCCTGCCCCCCCTTCCCTCCCCTCCCTCCACCCCTTCTCCTCCCTCCCTTTAGAGCGCTCGGCTACTTTACTTTTCAACTTTTGCCCCTCTCCGAAAATAACTCAATTCGAACACAGTTACTGCTTGCACAGATGTGTTGCTAAGGGAACACCATGCGGCAGAACAGAACAAATAAAAGCCACTGTTCTAAGGAGCGATAACAGGGTGGCGGTAAGTGGACATTTCTGATGTTGTCTGAGGGGGGTGATTATTTGTCTGTGTGATCAGGACAATATTTATAGCCATGTCTTCTTCATGGCTGAAGATCACTGATCTGGGGTCAGTGACATGGCAGGTGTGATCATATTTCCTTGGCTTCCATTGTCCCATATCTGAGGCAGAATGGGGGTTGGGGGGTGACTGAAGGTTGAGACTGTCTGACCAGGCAGAGATTTGCAGCCCAACTGCCATGCATGAAGGGAAAAAAACGGGGCGTACAGCGGGTCGGCCTCGTGTCACTAGGTGTCACTGTTACCCAGCGAGAGACGACAGCATCCGGGCTGTAGCGGCTAATCAAGCGCCTTGACAACGACAGGTTTATAAATAGGCAGGCCATTGTCACTGCCGGCCGCTGCAGGTAAGAGAGGCCGCGGTGGCAGTAGTGTCACGTTGCAGTGCGCTCTCTCTCCGCCCGGGCCGGTCTCCGTGGCTCTAACCGAGCGCCGCTCTGCTCCCTGTCAGACTCGGATTCTGCAGTTATCTAACCCCTGGGCGTTTGGCAGACACTCATCACCGCCGTGACACAACTCCTGCTTTCTGAGAAACGGGAACAGGGCCCTGCTTGGGTGATGACCGATGTGTCATAAAACATCAAGAACTACTTTGGGCTCCTTCCTCCATGCCTGCAGTTGTCAGGGGCTGCACTGACTGGAGGAGGTTTGGCTAAACAGATAACAGGGGACTGCTTGATCATTAGTCATCGATGCTCATAAATTGAGCAACTTTTAGCTACCAATGTTGTTTCAGTCATGATCTATATGCTCCCTCTCAGTTTCGCTGATATTGTGTTCCTCTGGTTTTGCTATTGCTTCTGTGCTGATATGAAACCGCCTCAACAATAGCTGAGTAGGAGGAAGTGTGTTTGAACGCGCAGTGTCTTCTTTCTTCATATTAGAAACCGCCTGTCCTGTGCAATCTGTAGGCCTTCTGCAGCAGGAATCAGATCGAAGAGTGACGGTGGATCTCTGTCAAATGTGGCCAACCTGATGTCTGTGCTCACATGCCCTTTGTGAACATGCCATGTTCACAAAGGCTTCATCACTCACTTGGTCACATGTCCCTTGTGACTCAACCTTTGCTAGAATAGCAGAGGAAGTGTGTGAGATGACCCTCACTGTTTGCCTTATTTTAGCCTTTGCCACAGGCCCTGCGCAGAAAACAGCCACAGTGCGCAGACATTACTTTATTGTCTTAACAGACACTCTTATCCAAAGCGACTTACATAGCTTACAGTTTTTTACATGTTATCCATTTATACAAATTCATATTTTCTGAGCCAATTAGGTAGGTACTGTGCACAAGGGTACAGCGGCGGTGCCCCAGCAGGGAATCGAACCAGCAACCTTTCGGTTACAAGCCTTACCTCCTTACCACTACGCTATACTGCCACAGACACATTGCCATCCGCCTATTTTGATGTGCTGCGCCGGATGTGCACATGCCGGAATCCAAACAGTGTCCTCTTCTGTCACACCAGCTGTGACGCTGTGCTGTTCCTGCTCTCTGTGCAGCTGGCTGCAGGAATGAATGTCCTGGGATCAGCTTTCAGCACCCTCTCTCTGGAGTGCTGAGTGTCTCTTGCTTTGATCTGTTGGCTCAGAATCGCTGGATGATCATTACTTTTGTGGGCTTTTTTTTTTTTTGATTACCGCCTCTTCCTGCAACCTCAGCCCGAACGGTATTGTTCCTGCTACCGTTGAAATGGTCGTCAGTCACCTGGTTTAAGAGTGCTTTACATATAAGCGGTTTGTTGTTTAGTCAGCTATGGTTCAGGGGGAATATGACAGCGCAGCTGTTTTTGAATCAAGACACGGCGACCTTCCTTTCAACTGTAGAGGTCAAACCAAGGAATCAATGGAGGCCTCCACCTCATACCACAGAGCGCTTCCCTGAGCTCCTTGTTTTCTCATCGCCGGTAGTGTTTCATCGTTACGTAACGAGAGGAGGCCGAGGGAGTAATCCTTCCGCTCTCTGCCGCACCTGCAGCCTCTCTGTGGGAGTTCTGTTTGATGAGGCACCGTGTGCGGCGTGACCCAGGGGTTGTTGAGTCACTGAACGTTACTGAGCATGGCGCAGGGCTGCCGTGGGCTGCAAGCTGTCAAACCTGGAGGATACGAGGCGGCTGTGTGCGGGTCAGTGCAGCGGGTCATCAGGCTGGGTTTGTGTTTGTGTTCCTCTCACAGCATGTGTGGAGAATCCCTGCAGCGGTGGGCGTTGGGATGGCGTTTGTTTAGCCATCCCTGTTACGCATTGTAAATGGAACAGTGCCGTTGGTCGGTACAGGAATTTCATTACATTACATTGCATACATTTTTTGCGAACGCTCTCATGCAGAGCGATTTCCAGCACAAGAAAACGGAAGCGTATCCATTCAAGCTGAATGAGCGACTATGTCAGACCAGGCTAACAACACTCCCAGAGCAATGAGTATGAGCACAACACTATTCAAGCACTACTACAAGTTAACCTCTGCTAACCTGAAACTAGACATCCTCAAAACTAAGGAATGAGTGAAGGAGTCCGCAGAGGGGTTCGGTTATGGGCATAAATGGGTGCGCAGAGGTGGACCTGTTGCTTCTGAACCTGGAAAGGGGTCAGGAGGGGTGGGGGGAATTTTGCAAGGTGCTAACCACGCGATGTGTGTCCCTCTCCGTCCCCCCCGTCCCCCCCACCCGTAGCAGCGGCCCGCCAACCGCCCCAAGCCCAAGATGGGGGCGTCGACGGCGGTCAAGCTGCCGGCCAGCCGCTCCACGTCGGGGGCGCGGCGACGGCGGACGCGCTGCAGGAAGTGCGAGGCGTGCCTGCGGACCGAGTGCGGCGAGTGCCACTTCTGCAAGGACATGAAGAAGTTTGGCGGCCCCGGGCGCATGAAGCAGTCCTGCATCATGAGGCAGTGCATCGCGGTGAGTCCGGGAACCCCGGTGCGGGGCGCGGGGCGCGGCGCCCCCTGCTGTTTGCCTGATGTTTTAACACTTATTTTTCTCTCTCATAACCCATTGTGCACCAGGTTTATAAAAGTTCATTTTTAACAATAAGCAGACAGAAACTTTTGTTTCATTTTTAAAATGAATTCCTCATTTGTGTAGCAGGTGCATGCATCTCTGTTTTGTTCAATCTAACCTGTGTTTAAGGGCTGCATTTCAGTCGTTTTTGTAGTTGGTGGCATTAGGTATGATCCATTAAAATAGCAGATTGGGTGGTATGATAGAGAGGCAGATTGGTCAAGCAAATGGGGTGTGATTTGCACTGTTAAAGATTAGCACACCTGACCACCACATTCCTGAGTTATCTACTGTAAACATCAGTGTGTATGTGCATTTTTTTGTGCATGTGCATGTGTGTGCATGCGTGAGTGCTGTGTTTGTGTGTGTGTGTGTTTGTGTGTGTGTCTGTGTGTGTGTGTGTGTGTGTGTGTGTGTGTGTGTGTGTGTGTGTGTGCATGTGTGTGTGTGTGTGAGTGCGCGTGTGTGTGTGTGCGCGTGTGTGTGTGTGCGTGTGTGTGTGCGTGCGTGTGTGCGTGTGTGTGTGTGTGTGTGCGTGCGTGTGTGCGTGCGTGCGCGCGTGCGTGCGTGCGTGCGTGCGTGCGTGCGTGCGTGCGTGCGTGCGTGCGTGCGTGTGTGTTAATAGCTGTGGTCACTGTGAGAATGCACTACACTAGTACCGTTCAGAAAGAGCAGAGTCTGTGTTCTGCTCGACAGCACAATCAATTTGCCCTCTAGTAAAAGATTATTTTATCAGGTACAGCGTATTTGTGCCTCTCTTGGGCCGATCCTTAATGTTTGAGGAAATGGATTACATAGCCTTGTGGTTTCATTCTTTGTCTTGTGCTAAAAAGAGCTAATAAACTCTTTGGCCTGCCTGGGGCTCTGTGGTGATTTAGTTCAGTAATATTAGGCGTTCAGTCACGCACAGCTGATTTTGAGGGGGGCTCTGGTTGAGTGTTGGAGGATGTGATGTTAAATAATGTAAATGTGTTTTATTTGCATTGTGTTTGGTACTTTCTGTGGAGTGAACAAAAACGCAACGTTCAATCACATGTTTTGCATCCAACTCTTGAAATGAACAAAGCTGTGGTTTACATTTGGCTTGGGTTGGTGTGTTCCTGGTTAACAGAGCAGCAGTGTGCCCTGCTTGTTGCACAATATTCAGTGTGTTAGCGCATGTAGTGTGTCAGTTTCACAGTGTCCAGAGTGCAGTAACCAGTGTATTAAATATACAGTGTTCTGTGTGACATGTGATTATTACATGTATTAGTTGCACAGTGTTCAGTGGTTTAGGTAGCGTTCAGCATGGTAGTTGCAGTTTTTAGTGTGTTATACACACTGGATTCAGCGCATTAGGTTCATTGAGTTAGGACAGAAGTGTTGAGACAGCTTGACACTCAGCACTCACGTGAGTGTGTGTGTGTGTGTGTGTGTGTGTGTGTGTGTGTGTGTCCTGCAGCCCGTGCTGCCCCACACCGCAGTGTGTCTGGTCTGCGGAGAGGCTGGGAAGGAGGACACGGTGGAGGAAGAGGAGGAGAAGTTCAACGTCATGCTCATGGAGTGCTCCATCTGCAACGAGATCGTGCATCCTGGCTGTCTCAAGGTGAGGGTGGCTCATGAGCAGTCAGGGCTCGCACTCTCTGTTTCTTTCCCTCTTTCTCTCCCTTTTTCTCTCCCTCTATTTCTCTTTGCCCCTCTCTCTCACTCTCCTTCTCTCTCTTTCCCTCATCTTTCACTCTCTTTCTTTCCCTTTCTCTCTCTCATCCTTTCTCTCCCTCTCATTCTTTCCCTCTATTTCACTTTCCCCCTCTCTCTTTTACTTTCCTTCTCTTTTTTTCCCTCTCTATCTCATGACCAGACAGGCCTGGCACTCTCTCTTTCCCTTTCTCTCTCTCTCTCATTCCCTCCCTCTCTTTCTCACTGTGTGCATCCCGCACCTGTCCCGTTATTTGGGGCTGCTCTAATCAACAGGTGCCGTCTTTGCCACCCAGAGCACCTGCATACAGTGGCGACACGATGCTCTCTGTGAACTCCACAAAATGTGCGCTGACACACTGGGCCCAGTCTTTTTGGGTGGAGGGTGCTGGAGAGATACGTGGATTTTACCTACTGGAGGCTGAAAGAAATTCCTCCATTGTTCTTCCATGAACTGACAACGAGGGACATCTTTTTTCCTCTAAATCTTGCTCTGGGATGGCAGAGTTGGGGTGGGGGAAGGATCACAGGGAACAAAAAACACCTTGTTGTGGCTGGGCCTGATGAGCTAAATGTAAAACAAAATGCAAAGCAGCTGACAAGGGCCTCGCAGTGAGCTCTCAGCTCAAGTGCAGATCGACTCCCCCGAGCAGTTCCCACCGAGGAAGGCATCCTTCTAATAAAGCGGGGCTGGGAAAGCAGGAACACAGCACTTCAGAATATGGGAGCTGGATCGTATCTTCAGGACACACACAATGGGAGCCGATCTTCAGACATGCCTGCAGCCCCTGTTAGTGTGAGCGGACTGAGCCAAGTTTCATTTTTAGGTCGCCTGCTGTTTTGATGTTTCTGAAGATGCTAGCATTGCGTTCGGCTTCGAAGGCTCTCTCCCACGGTGCTAGGAGCGGTGAGGGGGTGTCAAACTGCTCATCGCAGAAGTGGAAGGGGAGGGCACTACTTCACTCGTGCTTTCAGTTCCCTTTTTACGGCGCGCTGAGATGACCGGAACGACGAGAGGCCCTTTCACTTTTTGCGTCCCGTCTGGCCCTCGCGGCGTCTCGACTCCTCCGCAGGGGTGAAGGAGGTGAACTTCTGTCTCGGTCTGTCTCCTTCTCCTTCTCCCTTTTCTGACTCCCCGACTCTCTGCCCCCCCCCCCACCCCCCACCCCCCTCCAGGTCAAAGACACAGGCGGCGTTGTGAATGACGAGCTTCCTAACTGCTGGGAATGTCCCAAGTGCAATCATGCCGGGAAGACTGGGAAAGTAAGTATCTACGTGGGAGTAAGGGGAAAGGCGTGGGACTGAACCATCACAGCGCTTACATCCATGAGTCTGGGTGATCGGAGCTCTGTTTTAAAACATGTTTGCTTTCCTTGTAAGATGTGCAGAAATATTAAACCTCTATTAATCTCTTACAACTTCTGACAAGTTTTCTTAATATCACATTTTTGGTAACATGAGCTTTTCAAACTTGCTTTTTTCAATGAGATGACAAAAAACAGTTGAGGAGTGGTGATGATTTTTTTTTTTTTTTTTTTGAGTACAAGGTATTTTCCATTGAAAACCTTTCTGTTTCTGAAAACGACTGCCCTCTTTGTTTTCAGGGCCGTAAACAAAGTCTTTGGATGTTCTGTTTAAAATCAGCTGTATAGTCTATTTGTTTGTATTCTTGCCAAAGAAAGTACTGTGCCTTTATTTTGTGGTTTGCG